TGTATTTTGTAAATGATAAATTAATTAGGAATAATGAATAATGTAAATCATGCAAATATATTTTTTTTTTGTAAGCAGTATATAAGAGAACTAATGGGACTGCCCTGGCAGAGCTCCCGACCGACGTGTACTATGGCTCCTGAGTGGCGCAACAGCCTAAGGCAATGCATCTCAGTGCTAGAGGCGTCACTTCAGACCCTGGTTCGATCCCGGGCTGTATCACATCCGGCCGTGATTGTGAGTCCCATAGGGCGGCGCACAATTGGCCCAGCGTCGTCCGGGTTAGGGGAGGGTTTGGCCGGGGTAGGCCGTCATTGTAAATAAGAATTTGTTCTTAACTGACTTGCCTAGTTAAATAAAGGTAAAAATAAATAAAAATAACTCTCTAGCTTGCTGATAATAAAGAATGATTCATTTAATATAAACTTCAGGTGTCCCTGGTGGTAATTTCTACGACACAGCCCCAGACCATTATTCCTCCTCCATCAAACTTTACAGTTGGCACTATGCATTTGGGCAGGTAGCGTTCTCCTGGCATCCGCCAAACCTAGATTCGTCCGTCGGACTGCCAGATGGTGAAGCGTGATTCATCACTCCAGAGAACGCATTTCCACTGCTCCAGAATCCAATGGCGGCGAGCTTTACACCACTCCAGCCGACACCTGGCAATGTGTATGGTGATCGTAGGCTTGTGTGCAGCTGCTCGGCCATGGAAACCTATTTCAGCTGCCGACGGAGGCAGTTTGGAACTTGGTAGTGAGTGTTGCAACCGAGTACAGACGATTTTTACGCGCCACACGCTTCAGCACTCGGTGGTCCTGTTCTGTGACCTTGTGTGGCCTACCACTTTGCTGCTGAGCCGTTGTTGCTCCTAGAGGTTTCCACTTCACAATAACCCACTTACAGTTGACCAGTGCAGCTCTAGCAGGGCAGAAATTTGACGAACTGACTTGTTGGAAAGGTGGCATCCTATTACACTGCCACGTTGAAAGTCACTGAGCTCTTCAGTCAGGCCATTCTACTGCCAATGGTTGTCTATGGAGATTGCATGGCTGTGTGCTCGATTTTATACACCTGTCAGCAACGGGTGTGGCTGAAATAGCCAAATCCACTAATTTGAAGGAGTGTCCACATACTTTTGTATATATTGTTTATGTGCTTCAGTAATGTTGACTTCTTAGCGTTCATAGCAATGGTTATCAACTGTACTGCAGAAATGGAATGTAAATCACATAAAATACACTAAACAAAAATATAACCGCAACATGTAAAGTGTTGGTCCCATGTTTCATGAGCTGATGTAAAAGATTCCAGAAATGTTCCATATGCACAAAAAGCTTATTTCTCTCAAAAGTTGTGCACAAATTTATTTAAATTCCTCTTAGTGAGCATTTCTCCTTTGCCAAGATAATCCATCCACCTGACAGGTGTGGCATATCAGGAAGCTGATTAAACGGCATGATCATTTCACAGGTGCACCTTGTGCTGGGGACAATTAAAGGCCACTCTAAAATGTGCAATTCTGTCACACAACACAATGCCACAGATGTGTCAAGTTACGAGGGAGCTTGCAATTGCCATGCTGACTGCAGGAATGTCTACCAGAGCTGTTGCCAGAGAATTTAATGTTAATTTCTCTACCATAAGCCACCATTTTATTTTTTTGCATTTGGCAGTACATCCAACCGGCCTCACAACCACAGACCACATGTATGGTGTCATGTGGGCGAGCGGTTTGCTGATGTAAACGTTGTGAACAGAGTGCCCCATGGTAGCTATAGGGTTATAGTATAGGCAGGCATAAGCTACGGTCAATTAACACAATTGCATTTTATCAATGGCAATTTGAATGCACAGAGATACCGTGACGAGATCCTGAGGCCCATTGTCGTGCCATTCATCCACCACCATCACCTCATGTTTCAGCATGATAATGCACAGCCCCATGTCGCAAGGATCTGTATACATACAGTGGGGAAAAAAAGTATTTAGTCAGCCACCAATTGTGCAAGTTCTCCCACTTAAAAAGATGAGAGAGGCCTGTAATTTTCATCATAGGTACACGTCAACTATGACAGACAAATTGAGGAAAAGAAATCCAGAAAATCACATTGTAGGATTTTTAATGAATTTATTTGCAAATTATGGTGGAAAATAAGTATTTAGTCACCTACAAACAAGCAAGATTTCTGGCTCTCACAGACCTGTAACTTCTTCTTTAAGAGGCTCCTCTGTCCTCCACTCGTTACCTGTATTAATGGCACCTTTTTGAACTTGTTATCAGTATAAAAGACACCTGTCCACAATCTCAAACAGTCACACTCCAAACTCCACTATGGCCAAGACCAAAGAGCTGTCAAAGGACACCAGAAACAAAATTGTAGACCTGCACCAGGCTGGGAAGACTGAATCTGCAATAGGTAAGCAGCTTGGTTTGAAGAAATCAACTGTGGGAGCAATTATTAGGAAATGGAAGACATACAAGACCACTGATAATCTCCCTCGATCTGGGGCTCCACGCAAGATCTCACCCTGTGGGGTCAAAATGATCACAAAAACGGTGAGCAAAAATCCCAGAACCACACGGGGGGACCTAGTGAATGACCTGCAGAGAGCTGGGACCAAAGTAACAAAGCCTACCATCAGTAACACACTATGCCGCCAGGGACTCAAATCCTGCAGTGACAGACGTGTCCCCCTGCTTAAGCCAGTACATGTCCAGGCCTGTCTGAAGTTTGCTAGAGTGCATTTGGATGATCCAGAAGAGGATTGGGAGAATGTCATACGGTCAGATAAAACCAAAATAGAACTTTTTGGTAAAAAATAAACTCGTCGTGTTTGGAGGACAAAGAATGCTGAGTTGCATCCAAAGAACACCATACCTACTGTGAAGCATGGGGGTGGAAACATCATGCTTTGGGGCTGTTTTTCTGCAAAGGGACCAGGATGACTGATCCGTGTAAAGGAAAGAATGAATGGGGCCATGTATCGTGAGATTTTGAGTGAAAACCTCCTTCCATCAGCAAGGGCATTGAAGATGAAACGTGGCTGGGTCTTTCAGCATGACAATGATCCCAAACACACTGCCCGGGCAACGAAGGAGTGGCTTCGTAAGAAGCATTTCAAGGTCCTGGAGTGGCCTAGCCAGTCTCCAGATCTCAACTCCATAGAAAATCTTTGGAGGGAGTTGAAAGTCCATGTTGCCCAGCGACAGCCCCAAAACATCACTGCTCTAGAGGAGATCTGCAAGGAGGAATGGGCCAAAATTCCAGAAACAGTGTGTGAAAACCTTGTGAAGACTTACAGAAAACGTTTGACCTGTGTCATTGCCAACAAAGGGTATATAACAAAGTATTGAGAAACTTTTGTTATTGACCAAATACTTATTTTCCACCATAATTTGCAAATAAATTCATTAAAAATCCTACAATGTGATTTTCTGGATTTTTATTTCTCATTTTGTCTGTCATAGTTGACGTGTACCTATGATGAAAATTACAGGCCTCTCTCATCTTTTTAAGTGGGAGAACTTGCACAATTGGTGGCTGACTAAATACTTTTTTTTCCCACTGTATTTAAAATTCCTGGAAGCTGTTCCTGGAATCAATTCCTGGAAGCTGAAAATGTCCCAGTTTTCCATGGCCTGCATACTCACAAGACATGTCACCCATTGAGCATGTTTGGGATGCTCTGGATCGACGTGTACGACAGCGTGTTCCAGTTCCCGCCAATATCCAGCAACTTCGCACAGCCATTGAAGAGGAGTGGTACAACATTCCACAGGCCACAATCAACAGCCCAATCAACTCTATGCAAAGGAGATGCATGATGCAAAGGATGGTCACACCAGATACTGACTTTTCTGATCCACGCCCCTACCTTTTTTTAAGGTATCTGTGACCAACAGATGCATATCTGTATTCCCAGTCATGTGAAATCCACAGATTAGGGCCTAATGAATTTTATTTAAATTGACTAATCTCCTTTATATGAACTGTAACTCAGTCAAATCTTTGAAATTGTTGCATGTTGAGTTTATATTTTTGTTCAGTATAGATGCTGTGGTGGCAGCTGCAGAGAAGTACTTGGGTGTATGAGATTTAACTTCAGAAGAGTTACAGGGTGTGTTGAGTGGTAGTGTCCCGTCTTCCCAGGCCATTGGCCTGTTGTAGGAGCCCATAGGTTAAAAGTAGTTGAATGGGGTGGTGGATTTTACTGAGTGTAGGGCAGTGGTGTAAAGTACTTAAGTAGTACTTTCAAGTTTTGTTACTTAAGTCGTTTTTTTGGGTACTGTACTTTACTTTACTATTTCTATTTTTGACAACTTTTACTTTTACTTCACTGCATTCCTAAAGAAAATTAAGTACTTTTTACTCCATACATTTTTCCTGACACCCAAAAGTACTCAGTACATTTTGAATGGTTAGCAGGACAGGAAAATTATCTAATTCACACACTTATCAAGAGAACATCCCTTGTCATCCCTACTGCCTCTGATCTGGCGGACTCACTAAACACATGCTTCGTTTGTAAATGATGTGGGAGTGTTGGAGCGTGCTCCTGGCTAACCGTAAAAAAAAAAAAAAAACTAGAAAATGGTGCCATCTGGTTTGCTTAATATAAGGAATTTGAAATGATTTATACTTTTCCTTTTGATACTTAAGTATATTTTAGCAATTACATTTACTTTTGATACTTACGTATATTTAAAACCAAATACTTTTAGACTTTTACTCAAGTAGGATTTTACTGGGTGACTCATTTTTCCCTTAGTCATTTTCTGGTATCTTTAATTTTACTCAAGTATGACAATTGGGTTCTTTTTCCACTACCGGTGTAGGGTTAGTCAGAAGGATGATTTTCTTTACCCTTTCATATTTTGTTTAACAAAGTGTAATGGATTTACACTCCAGTCCAGTTTGTGGCGGTAATGAACCTTTTGTTTGCCAACCGCCATTTTAGAAATGACAGAATAAGTCTTATTTTCGTGGACAGATTTGGGGCAGAGTAAAGCAATGGAGTAATACAAACGATACTGTAATCCCTCTCGCTTCGCCGCTTCCTCTCTACTGAAACATATTATTCATATTTACCATATTGGATAATTATTTTGGTTAATTGCTGCAAAATATATTTTACGATACTGTTATTTTCCTGGAAAAGATAGGTAAGCGTTTGCTAACTATTAATTGTTCACCTCTTTTGGGCGGTGGTTTATTTGAGTTCTGTGAAGGTGTCCAGCAAGCTAACAAGGCCTTGGCTTTAACAAGCTAGCAAACGTTAGCCCTGCTAGCTAGCTATTTGCTAAACTAAGCTTATGAACCTTGATACTAGGTTTTATGTTTTTCAAATGTTGGTATTTCTAACGCTAAAGCAATTATTTAGCTGGATGTAAAAGTTCAACATTGTGACAATCCAGTCAACTTTAGTTTGCTAAAGCCAGAGACTTAATTCAATAAACACCGCCGTCCAACCAGCTTCAACTCACAACATTTTAGCTTGCTTTACCACATATTTAATTTTGGCTTTACTAGTTCACTAGCTAGCCTTCCCCCGATATAAACGTATGATTCACTTGTTTCCGGGTATTTTATATTTCAGACCTCATGGTTGTCTGCATTGAAATGAATGGTTAAGTTTTTCTGATGCAGTTACAACATCTTTAGGTACCATCTGAAATACACTTTAGATTGCCAGAAGATACCAACCCTACCGTTACGCTTGTTTACACTGAGCAGCAGCGTAAACAATCTTAACGGTAGGGTTTTTATCATCTTGCTAACTGTTTAGAGTCCTTTAGAGGTTTTAGCTAGATGGGAGTAACTATTGCAGCAGGACAGCATTTGCAAATATACATGTTAGAAAATGGAAAGTTTATGTTCCCTACAAGTTGCTAGTGTCTATCTGTAAAAAGCAGCTGAAATAATATGATTGGGTTTTAGATTAAAATGTTTAACTGAAATCCTGTTTTTATCTTATCTATTTTTCCCTTTTTCTCAGGAGAATGGCTGCTGCTGAGGTGAACAGTAGTTCTGCTCCGGTGATGGAGGAAAAGGAGCCTATGGAAGTCACCGCCGAAAGCGAGCACACAGAGAACTACCAGACACTCATCGATGCCGGACTGCCGCAGAAAGTGTCTGAGAGTCTCGACAAAATATTCTCAACCGGTGGGGCATCCGTCATACAATGGCTGAGTCTAATCTATTTTCCAAAGAAGCGTGGTGTTGCTCGAGGATCCATGAAGTGAATAAAGGCCAGGTTGTAATAGTACGAATCTGTCTTGTACCCACAGGGTTGCTGGCGTACGCTGACCTAGACGAGAGGGCCATCGATGCTCTGCGGGCGTTCAATGAAGAAGGAGCGTTGTCTATACTGTCGCAGTTCAAAGAAAGTGACCTGACCCATGTCCAGGTGAGTTACAGTGGGAGCAGAATGAAAGAGAATGAATGGAAGTCAGTTTAGATGATGATTGCATTAGAAAGAGTCTTCAGAAGTTGACATTGAGGGGTCTATAATTTTTCCTCTGCTCATAACACCAATACATGAATCAACTCTGCTGTGGTTTGCTTTCCAGAACAAAAGTGCTTTTATTTGTGCAGCTATGAAGACGTACAGACAGAGGGAAAAGCAAGGAAGGAAAGTACAAGAATCCACTAAGGGTCCTGCCGAGTCCAAGATCAAGGTAAAATGCAGCTTTTTGAAAGTGAATTCAGTAGCGTCAATAGAACCTGCTGTGTGTGTGAACCTGCTCAGGTTGTGTAGTTCTGTAGTGGTTATGCTGATGTCGACGTGTTCCCCAGGCTCTGCTGGAGAGGACAGGATACACCCTGGACGTCACCACCGGACAGAGGAAATACGGAGGGCCCCCACCAGAGGATGTGTTTAAAGGAGCACAGCCTGGGATTGGAACTGAGGTAAAGCTGCTGGAGATGCTCCATTTTCAAGTAACAATATTTGAAAGGGTCATGGTCATCGTCGGCAAAGCCGTTATCTGATATAGAGCAGAGAGATGAGTTTGCAAGTCTGTGTCCCCAAGAATGTCAGTAGAAAAGTATATAGCAACACCCAGCATTCTTCCCCGATCACATTGTGGAACCCTCATTCAGTCTGTTGTCTGCCTTTAGGTGTTTGTGGGAAAGATCCCCAGAGACCTGTATGAAGACGAGCTGGTGCCTCTGTTTGAGAAGGCGGGCCCAATCTGGGACCTGAGGTTAATGATGGACCCACTGTCGGGTCAGAACCGGGGCTACGCCTTCATTAACTTCTGCAGCAAGGATGCAGCAGCTGAGGCGGTGAAACTTGTAAGTCCCTGCAGTCAGACATGGTCTTAGTTTACCTTCTACAAACCAAGGGTCTGGTTTCCCAGACCCAGATTAAGCCTTGTCCTACTCTTGAAAATCACTTTCAATAGGGAATCTTCATTAAGTGTGCTTTTTAGTCTAGGGCCAGGTTTAATCTGTGTCTCGGAAACCGACCCAAGATGTGATACATATTTCATTTTGGAGCGGTCGTCGGACTGCCTCCAGCTACCTTATCAACCCTACAAAGCCATCTTTCCTCTATTCTGGTTTTCAGTGTGACAACTATGAAATCCGGTCTAGGAAATACCTTGGAGTGTGCATATCTGTAGCAAACAACCGCCTGTTTGTCGGATCAATCCCAAAGAACAAGACCAGGGAGAGCATATTGGAGGACTTCAGCAAAGTCACAGGTCAGTGAAAGTGCAGACACCCCAATTTGGTTTACATTGTTTTATGTTCTGTGGGTTATCATTTGTCAGATATCAGTCATGTCACTCGTTCTTGTTCCTCCAGAGGGGCTTCAGGAAGTGATCCTCTACCACCAGCCGGATGACAAGGAGATTAACCGTGGCTTCTGTTTCCTGGAGTATGAGGACCACAAGTCTGCAGCCCAGGCCCGCCGCTGCCTCATGAGTGGCAAGGTGATGGTGTGGGGGAACCCGGTCACTGTGGAGTGGGCCAACCCGGTCACTGAGCGCGACACGGATGTCATTGCCAATGTGAGTACTCTCTCTCACTTTCTCTGTCAATTTTACAACAACACATGAACGACCCCCCCTCTGTATTCCACTTCTGTTTACTTTTATTCAACTTTAACTTTTATTTATACTTTTCTAAACTGAGTTGAACTTTGTCTGTGTGAGTCAGCAGGCGAAGGTCTTGTTTGTCAGGAAGCTGGCCAACTCAGTCACAGAGGAGCTACTAGTGAAGACCTTCTCTGCCTTTGGCAAACTGGAGCGGGTGTATAAGCTCAAAGACTACGCCTTTGTCCACTTTGAGGACAGGGACGCTGCTGTGAAGGTGGGTTACCCTCAGTAAAACATACTCGTTGTTTTTTTTTTACCATGCTTCGGATGTCTGATAACATTTTTGCTGCTTTTCTCAGGCAATGGCAGAAATGAATGGGAAGGAGCTGGGGGGAGAGGAGATTGAAATAAGAATAGCAAAGAAGAAGAAGGCGCGGAAGACTCAGCGCCAGACCACCAGAAACCCAGGGTGAGGCCACAGAGAGACTGGGATTGACTGAAATCTGTTATCTGATTTAGTAGATTTCCCATCATGGGATTACATTGAAAGTTATGTTTTTCCTGTTTTTCAGAAGGAATGATGACGATTACAACCACCAACGGCCACGCATGCCTCCACCAGATAGGGGCAGGGGCCGTGGTGGCCGAGGGGGCGGGGGCTACGCTGCATACCCCCCAGACTACCACAGCTACGATGACCACTACGGCTATGACTATCACGACCCCTGCAGGGGTTACGAGGACCCCTACTACGGTTACGAGGACCCCTACTACGGTTACGAGGACCCCTACTACGGTTACGAGGACCCCTACTACGGTTACGATGACGTGTACAGCATGAAGGGCCGTGGTAGCAGGCCCAGCAGGGGAGGCCCGCCCCCACCCAGGGCCCGTAGAGCACCACCCACCCAGGGCCGAGGGGGCTATGCGCAGAGGGGGCCACCCATCAGAGGGCCCAGGGGTAGCAGAGGAGGGGGCCATGGGGGACTCTTCCAGCCACAGAGGGCCCACAGTACCCGAGGAGCCAGGGGGAACCACGGAGGCAATGTGGGTGGGAAGAGAAAGGCAGACGTCTTCAACCAGCCTGATTCAAAGCGCCGGCAGACCAACAAGCAGAACTGGGGGTCCCAGCCCATCGCCCAGCAGGAAGGTGGCGACTATTCCGATAACTATGGTTAAGGTAATGACACCCTGGAGTTTTCGCAGGATTCTTATGGGCGTCGCTGGAAGTAGACACATGAAAAAGGTATTTGACAAAGTAAAAAAATAAAAAATTGGCTGCAATTTTTGAATATCTTTTTATTCGTCATCCCTCACGAAAAAAATTATGAATTGGCTGGAATTGCATTTTGGGCTGGAGATGTGAATGTAACTGTTTTGCTGAATAATTTCTTGCAGTTACATGGGACATACGTTTTAACACACATGTCTAGCGTTTTGTAGAGGTAGATATATATATATATATATATTTTACTGATATTATAACTTCCTGTGTTTTCTTTGGGAAGCCATAGCAGTTTGTTCTCTGTTTGTATTTATAACTTTTACTTTTCAATTAAACTCAGTTGAGCATCATTCAATTGCCAGTCTATTCCTAACCCTACCTAAAATATCACATTTGGAACACTATTTTCTCTACTTTTTGCTCAAGGAATAAATCAAGAGACCAAATGAAATTGTAAAATACCTAAATACTTTATGACAGAGCACACAAACAATGTATGAATGACTGAATATTTGTTTATTATTTTAACCCTTTTTATTTTCCAGGAAATGTCTCCCTCTTACAGTGCATTCGGAAAGTTTTCAGACCCCTCAACATTTTCCACATTTTGTTAAGTTACAGCCTTATTCTAAAATGGATTCAATTGTTTTTTCCCCCTCATCAATATACACACAATACCCCATAATGACAAAGCAAAAACAGGTTTTTAGACATTTTTGCACATTTATTATATATAAAAAACTGATAGTACATTTACATAAGTATTCAGACCCTTTACTCAGTACTTTGTTGAGGCAGCGATTACAGCCTTGAGTCTACTTGGGTATGACGCTATAAGCTTGGCACACCTGTATTTGTGAGTTTCTCCCATTCTTCTCTGCAGATCCTCTCAAGCTCTGTCAGGTTGGATGGGGAGTGTCGCTGCACAGCTATTTTCAGGTCTCTCCAGAGATTTTCAATCGGGTTCAAGTCCGGGCTCTGGCTGGGCCTCTCAAGGACATTCAGAGACTCGTCCCGAAGCCACTCCTGCGTTGTCTTGGCTGTGTGCTTAGGGTCGTTGTCCTGTTGGAAGGTGAACATTTGCCCCAGTCTGAGGTCCTGACCGCTCTGGAGCAGGTTTTCATCAAGAATCTCTCTGTACTTAGCTCCGTTCATCTTTCCCTCGATCCTGACTAGTCTCCCAGTCCCTCCTGCTGAAAAACATCCCCACAGTATGATGCTGCCACCACCATGCTTCACCGTAGGGATGGTGCCAGGTTTCCTCCAGACATGATGCTTGGCATTCAGGCCAAAGAGTTCAATCTTGGTTTCATCAGACCAGAGAGTCTTGTTTCTCATGGTCTGAGAGTCCTTTAGGTGCCTTTTGGCAAACTCCAAGCGGGCTGTCATGTGTTTTTTACTGAGGGGTGGCTTCCGTCTGGCCACTCTACCATAAATGCCTGATTGGTGGAGTGCTGCAGAGATGGTTGCCCTTCTGGAAGGTTCTCCCATCTCCACAGAGGAACTCTGGAGTTCTGTAAGAGTGACCATCAGGTTCTTGATCACCTCCCTGACCGAGGCCCTTCTCCCCTGATTGCTCAGTTTGGCCGGGCGGCCAGCTCTAGGAAGAGTATTTTTAAGAATGATGGAGGCCACTGTGTTCTTGGGGACCTTCAATGCTGCAGACATTTTTTGTTACCCTTCCCCAGATCTGTGCCTCGACACAATCCTGTCTCGGAGCTGTACGGACAATTCCTTCGACCTCATGGAAACAGGATGCACCTGAGCTCAATTTCGAGTCTCATAGCAAAGGGTCTGAATACTTATGTAAATAAGGTATTTCTGTTTTTTATTTTTAATACATTTGCCAAAATTTCTATTAACCTGTTTTCGCTTTGTCATTATGGGGTATTGTGTGTAGATTGAGGAATTTTTTTTATTTAATCCATTTTAGAATAAGGCTGTAATGTAACAAAATGTGGAAAAAGTCAAGGGGTCCAAATACTTTCCGAATGCACTGTATGATAATCTGGTAAAAGATAATGAAATGAACACAATAGGAGCATGTTTGTACAACAATGCAGATTTTTCTACCTCATACTTTTACATTAGACTCAACAGGAAGACCAGAGCAACCGAGAATTCAAATACATTCCCCTTCCCTGAAGGACCTGGATCAGTTGCAACTCACCTCCACTCAAACACCATGAGGCCCAATTACACAGTGATTTGTTATTACAGACCAAGAACCTCTAAAGGGTTAAAGTTCTTCACAAATGATCAGAAGTAATGTCTATGCTGCTTTAGCAATGACCCCCCTCAAGCCCTACAGTCTTTCCATAGAGAAATGCTAAGAGCAACGCCTTTGGTCCCATGACATCACCATGTTTGTTTGTTTTGTCCTTCTATTCCAATTTACACAGGTGGTGAAGTGAGAGCAGCAGCGCTTGAGTGAGGAACAAACTCACCCTGAACTTTGTACCTTTTATAAAATGGTGAGCTATTACTAGTCGTTTGTAGGCCAAACCGTGCTGACTACAGATGATTTCGTGAGAAGACCAATTTCCGAGATGTCTCCTGGTCTGACAAACACTGCTGTAGCTCTGCGCCACCTTCCACTGCGGATGCACTGGATTGAGACGCGACCCATGCCCCCCAAAAAAAGTATCTAGTTTAAACGGATGGATTTTAATGGTAATTTTGTTGTTTATTTGATTATTATGCTAATTGCACAGTGCGGACTGCAGAAGCAACTCACCCAACTTCTCAACTTTTCCAGAGCAGGCTTTAAACTGCAATTTCATTGCCTTTGCCAAGTCAATTTGCTTGCCTTGCATATGCCATTCAATGTGTGTTTTCTCAACTATTATGATAAAGATTTTTGAGATATGTCAGCTAAAATAACCAGTGATCATGCTCCACATCTCTGGCCTTCTTTTTTACCTGCAAGTCAAGAACAACAATAAAACATTCCCGTGAAGGGTTTACAAACTGTAGGCCTACTTCCTTGCCAGAAACTAACTTAGATATTAGTCTCTCTAGACTAATCTCTTGTGGACAAATTAAATGGTGAGAATCTGTCAAGGCGCACATAGAATTATGTGATTATGAGCAGCAAACGTTCCTGGTTTTGGATTTCGTCATTGATTATTTGGAAGAATCAGGATTGGGCGACGGCAGTGCGTGAACTGGTACAGTGATTTTTTTCAAGCATGTGCGGGTGATCAACGGTTTCCATTAGATTCCACATCCACTAAGTCAACTGTATTTCGTTAAAATTCATATAAACAAAAATGTGCTAATCTGTGATGTTGTATTGGCCTATAGCCTAGCTATATTGATATGTTCATAATGATAATGTAGTTCTTATATAATTATATTTTCCTTATTTTAATGAGACCATGATACTGTATTATAAAACATATAGATCTGCATAAAGGAGAATACATCATTTGGGCTCCCGAGTGGCGCAGCGGTCTAAGGCACTGCATCTCAGTACTAGAGGCGTCATTACAGACCCTGGTTCGATCCCGGGCTGTATGACATCCGGCCGTGATCGGGAGTCCCATAGGGCGGCGCACAATTGGCCCTGCGTCGTCCGGGTTAGGCCGTCATTGTAATTAAGAATTTGTTCTCAACTAACTTCCCTAGTTAAATAAAATAACCTAGTTGAAATTTAAAATGGGATTATTGTTAGGGACGTCAAGGATCCCGGATAGCACTGACAATACCACAACAGCTTTTACTCTTCTCTGAACAGTTGATTTATCAGCAAAAAAGTAAACATTACTTTAAACTAGTGAGTCCTGTCTTGAGTTGTTGGCACCAGCCAGATGTCATAGTGTGTAGTGGTCAACAGAGGGTGCCAGAAAACACGTTTTTACCTCACAACATCCTCAAGGCCTATACACAAAAAGTGCGCACCCCTGGGTAAAGCTTGGTTCTCTGCTAGAGAAACCAACCAAAAAGTACAACACAACAGGGATTTCTCTGACTTTGCTTTCTCATGTCTGTGAATTGTCCTCCCCTCAAAGGGTGTTCAGGGGATAGGTCTGCTTCCTTCCTCTATCCACTATGTGGCAAAAATACCCAGCAGACCAATACCTTGGAGAAGAGCTGTAGTGTAACAAGATGTCTGTTTAATTCATCCAGCCTCTTCCCTATGCTTCCCCCTCCTCTCTTCCTGGTGTTTCATTAAAAGTTGGAGGGGGACTGATGGGGCTGTGCAAGTCAAGCATGGCTGATGTATGTTGGCTTCTCTATCTGAGTGTACCGTTTGGTGTACATCTTAGGCTGCTTTTAGACAGGCAGCCCAATTCTGATATTTGTTTTAACTAAATTGGTCTTTTGACCAGTCAGATCAGCCACTCTTCTCCCTTTCTCTCTCCTGCTAATGGTCCACCCTTCAGGGGAGTGTGTACTCCTAATGGTCCACCCTTCAGGGGAGTGTGTACTCCTAATGGTCCACCCTTCAGGGGAGTGTGTATTCCTAATGGTCCACCCTTCAGGGGAGTGTGTATTCCTAATGGTCCACCCTTCAGGGGAGTGTGTATTCCTAATGGTCCACCCTTCAGGGGAGTGTGTATTCCTAATGGTCCACCCTTCAGGTGTGGATGAATTGGTGGGATGAAAGTATAAAACTTATTGGGGTTAGGAGCTTAAGAAATAAAATAAAAACTTTTATTTGTTAAATGTTCAAAAGTTTTTTATATGAAGGATTTATTTTCTTATTGCGTATTACACCACAGAATAAGACCACAATCATATATACTGTACGTTTAATAGTTTGATAAAATGTATTTCCATTATTATTATTCAAAAATAAAAACACCTCGAACCCTGAGAACAATATAAAGAAAAAAGCAAAGGAGAAGCTCCCCTTGTATCTGAACGCAACAACATATACAGAATAGGTCAAACTTTCAACCCCTATACTGAATAAGAAATATGCAGTTCATATACAGTAGGACCTCAG